GCACTCTATGGAGGGTGACAAAGTGAAAGAGACTCTGTCTCAAAAAAAAAAAAAAAAACAACGAATAACTTGCTCAAGGTCACAGACTAGGCTGCTGCTGCCGCTGAGATTCAAACCTAAGCAACCTGATTCCAGACTCCAGGCTCTTAACTATGTTTTTTCTTTTTCTTTTTACCAAGTTGGCAAGGTTACAAAGAAAACAAGAGTTGAGTTGTCTGGAAGGCAGAATGCACAGAATTTATAGACTCCAGGGATGGGAGGGAGGGAGTAGGTGATAGGGAGGTCTGTCTAGCCCACGCCCACCCCTGCCTTTGAACACGTTTGCAGGTTGCTGCAAACCAGACCCCCTGGGACCCACATTAGACCAAATGGAGCTTTCTCCAAGGAGCTTGAGACTGAGGCCTGGAGAGTCTGCTGTTTTTCAATGTCTATATTGATCAATTCAAACAGATGTTTCCTGCCACAATAAGGGCAAGATGCAAAAGGGAAGGTTCACATCCTCCCGGATTTGAGGTAGTTAGCTGTGTTTGCTCCCACGGCTCTCCTTGTCGAGCCTGAGTTGTTTGGTGGTCTTGTAGATTCCCTGAGATCTCTACCTTGCCAGTAACTTCTTTGATTGGAGCCAGATTTGAGGTTCAAGTAGAACTCCATAGATACCGTTAAGATACACCACCAAGGAGAGGGGAGGGGATAATATCTCCAGCACTCAGTACCCAGCCCCTCACCCCCTAAATTGGGTGGCCACGAGTGTCAGTCAGATTGCAGACTTATACAGGGCCAGGCAGGTCTCTGGACTTTGCACAAAAGGTTCTGAAGGGGTGGCTTTCTGCACTGCCCAAGAGGTCAACCAGCTACCCGGCAATTATACTGCTGTCAGATAGTAAATACACATTTGCAAATGCTTCTGTAATTGTTCGGAAATGGTTCAGGCCTATTCATGCAGGGCTGGCTACAGAATGTTAATGGAAAAGCTTACCCAACATCTGCTTTCGGGGTTGGAGCCAGATTTGTGCCATTTAAACATTTATGGCTAGGAAGCCGTGGATTGGGTATTTGCCTCTGCCAGCCCTCAGAAAAGAAAAACTCAGCAGTGATGGACGGTCGCATGGCTGATTGACGGGTGGAGTGAGGGCATCCCATTTTCAGCCCTAACAAAGTCTTATTAAAAATGGTTCGGCTTTCTAAAAACCTAAAAATAGTAAGATGTGAAATTGCCATCACAGAACTGCAGTAATGTGGCTCACTTGCTGGCCTCTCTGACCTTGTGCAGAATGATTTATACTGTAATTAAACAAAGGGGCTCCTGCTAAATCTCAAGCATGATATAGAGATGCCTGCAGATGTAAGATGCGGCAGATCTTGAGGTGTGCTATTCGGAATGTCTTTTTGACTTTTGATTTGCGGCTCCTGCTTGCAATCCCTGTCTTTCTGCCCTCGTCATCTTGAGACATATGTCATTATTCCTGCCAGCTGGTAGGCAGGTGAGCCTATCCTAGTCCTCCAATTCAGCTGCTGTGGGTGACAACTGCCAAACCCCACCACCACCCAAGGGCATCCTGTGTGTGTCTGATGACCCACATGGAAAGTGTCAGGTTGTCCTGAATTCTAACTGTTGCACCACCTCAAGTTTGGGTAAATATTCATCCAGCCATTAGGGTTACAGCTCTGCTATAGAAAAGTGATTCTAAATTACAGTGGCAGAGAGGTGTTTTGTTCTTTGCAGATGTAATGGTCTCAAGAGAATAGCCCAGGTAAGAGGGCGACTTCGCTCCAGTCACTCAGAAATCCCCAGGCAGGAGGGCGACTTTGCCCAAGTCACTCAGAGATCCTCAGGCAGGAGGGTGACTTTGCTCCAGTCACTCAGAGATCCATGGGCAGGAAGGCCACTTTGCTTCAGTCATTCAGAGATCCCCAGGCAGGAGGGCGATTTTGCCCAAGTCACTCAGAGATCCACAGGCAGGAGGGAGACTTTGCTTCAGTCATTCAGAAATCTAAGCTCTTGGTTTGCCACTCCCCTAGGAATTGTGCTTCTGTTTCTGGTCAGGCCTGAGTTGCAGACAAGTCCATGTTACCATCCATGGACAGGGGAACAAGAAGGACCCAGGGTCACTGGCTTATCTCCACCAATGTCATGGGGAACACCCATGCTCAGTGGCCTACACTAAGCCCCAGAGTCACATTTAATGGTAGGGGGTTCCTGGGGGATGCTGATTCCTCCCGCAGAGCCCCAACCCCAGCTCAGACTCTCCTGCCATAGAAAACGGGGGGATTGGTTTGGTTTGGCTGTCTGGCCAGAAGCTTCTGTTACAGGTAACAAGAGATAAAGATACTGCTTCTTACACGTAAGTGACACACGGTCAACCATATATTCAACAAATATTTATCAAGTGCCTACTCTGTGCCATATACTTTCTCTTTCATGTGTAAGAAAAAAATATATTTTTGATTTCAATAAGGGGGTACAAATGTTTTAGGTTACCTGGATCTCTTTTGTTAGGCTTGAGTCCTAATGTGCCCATCACCCAAGTAGTGTTCACTGTACCCAGCGGGTAGGTTTTTGGCTCCTCCCTTCCTCCCGCCTCCCCCTGGTTGATTTCCACTGAGAAGAAAAATATGATAGACGAATTGAGGTTGATATTAGGCAATGCTACAAACGCAGTTTTTTCCACTTTTGAAAGAGTTTTACTCTTTCAGACATGGGAAGGCAATGGAAAAAAGGCAAGTCACACTGTTAAACTCCAGCCGCTGACCGACATTATTATTCTATTGATAGTTCTTGGGCAGTTCTTTGGATCTTGGTCTTGTAAATCATAACTTGCTTGTATCTTTATGAAGCTTTAGGAATAATTCTTCAGAGGATGACCTTAGATCACTGAGGTTATATTCAACCTCAAATGTGGGCTTTTTCTCCAAAACAATCAAGGCGACTAACACGGCAAGTTTTGCGGTGAGTCCCTTGATTTGGTAAGTTGCCCCATCTTCAGGGTTCATGTACTCAAAGTAGTGAGTAAGAAAACTGTGACCAGAGAAGTTGATGCAGTTTTGACGGTAGACGCGTGGGTGCAGGAAATAATCCAGGGACACCAGGAACACTTGCTTGACTTCATCAGGGTTAGGCTGAGCCTGGAAGTTGTGATCTATAAAACCCACAACGGGGGTTATCAATGAATATTTCTAAAAAATAAAAAACAAAATACAGAAATTGAGAAGTGAAGAATATTGTTTCAAATGCGAAAATTGTGCCACTTCCACATAAGCTAAGAAAATAGGCCAATACGTTAAAGTGGCCAATTAATTATAGAAGGTGGGGAAGGGAAGGGGGACAAATTTGCATCCCCTATAAAAGTTCTACCCCGGGAGGGGGGTCATCTATGAGATGACTCTGAAGACACTATCTTCTGTGAATATAGACTAGTGAAATCTTTTGGAATGGCAATTTGGCAGTATCATAAAAACACAGTCCCTTTGATTTAAGAATTATATTTGTGTGAGTATTGTTTTTTTTTTGGACCGGGGCTGGGTTTGAACCTGCCACCTCTGGTATATGGGGCCGGCACCCTACTCCTTTGAGCCACAGGTGCCGCCCTTGTGTGAGTAAATTTGCATGATAAATCTCTACCAATAAAAGACATGAGTATAAAGCTGGAGCATTGTTTGTGACAGCCCCAATACTAAAGTTATCACTCTTCAATTGGTGAACATTTAAGTCAGGTAAATGATGGTTTAGCCCCCAAACGGGATACTATACATCCCTTAAAAAGAATGGGATAGATACCTTTCCTCTTAGCAAAGACAAGGGTGTCCTTCCTATCAACAGTAAAGTGATACAGTATCAATTGTGGCATAGTCTGACCTACAGGAAAATACAATTATTTTTTCATATACATATGATTATATCTGAACTAGTTTATGTAAGTTTATATTATATGGGAGAGGGATTTCTAGATATGACAACTGTTCTGCAAAGGAGCATGAGTTCCACCAAATGAAAGCCCCTTCTGCCATACAGGGACTCTGAAGAGGGGTCTGCAGCTCAGTGTAAGAGCTGATAAGGGTTGCACAGCCTTGAGTTAGAAAAATGGGGAGAATCTGGAGTTCCTGAAGCATCCTGAAAAAAAGTGGGTGGGAGAAGCCAGAGGTAGGTCTGCAGTGAGGTTGGGACAGACAGAAGGTGGAATGGGGCTGCAGGAAATTCTCAGAGGAGGGACGGCCAAAGTGTGTTGAGGAACAGAGATGACTCCGCCCATTAACCAAACCAACAGTGAAAGTCAACATCTGGACTAGGAGATAACAGGGGCACAGACTAGATGTCCTTGGGTCAAGAAACCTGGGGTTATGAGTTACCCAAGGGCAGAGGCAGCGTGCCCCCAGCACCTAACCTCATACCTGGCTTCTCCTCCTCTGGGGTCCTGGGGTTCCCCAGAGTGGACTGATGGGAGGACTCTGACCCAAGGGATTTTCTTTAGGAAGTGCTCCCAGGAGAAAGCAGTGACAGGAGGGAAGAAGAAAGGCTGGTTTGGGAAGACGTCAGGCCAGGGCGTGGCGGAGTATTCAGAGTATAAATGACTCCTAGAGGTTTATCTCAGATAAAGACAGAAGAGCTGGGCTTTCACGTTGCCTGGCCTCAGTCAGTCCCTGGTTAAGGACTGCCTTGCTGGAATTAAATTCCCAGGCCCTCACAGCTCTTTCTTCAAGATATACTGCAAGGCAGGGTGTCTCCAGTAGCCCAGGGGTACCAGTCTTCAGAAAAATTTGGAAAGATGAGCTCTCAGAAACACAGAGGTGGCCGGAGGGACAGGAAGGGGCTTGGAAAAGGCCCCGACCTGGACACTCAGTAAATACTTTTGGTTGCTAGTATCTGGTCATGACCACACCTCTGGGCACAGGCAGCTAGTCTGGTATCCAGCCCCCTCATGTTGATTCCTCACAAAGATCTGACTTTAAAGCAGCTTTCAGAAGGACAGTTAGAGAGATGAAGAAGCTTGCCCAAGGTCATGTCCAGTTAATAATTGGCAGAAACCAGGATTTGACCTTAGCCTGTTGCTTACACCCGAGAGACCAGTGCTTCAGTGCTATAAAGACATGGATGTCACTTTATCTCAAAGAGAATGACGTGCCAGCCATGGGTGAGGACCCAGCTGCATCTCAGATTTGACGCATCCTCCCTCTTATTGGAAAGGCCAAACTGTCGGACAAGTGTGCACACGAGACTTAGCGCGGCCAGTTCTGGCCCATGACATTGCATGTCAGCATCTGGGGAAATTGGTGGAGAAAAAAAATCAGAGTCAGCAGGGAGACAGTGGCTTGAGACTGGATGCTTTGGATAAGAAGCCAGGCACATTCAACACAGCTCAAGCTTAGAAAGCTAAGGGAAGGCTTGGAAATTTGGGGATGAAACAGCACTTTTAGATACATGGTTTCTAAAAACACAAGTGTCTGTCTGTCTTGTAAGGTAAAAAGGTGGTATGTGGCAGAAGTTCTGGGGCCAAGAGAATCTGAATTTTGCCTGTTTTCTGAGTTGGAATCTGGTAGAGCCAGCTTCTTCCGTGGGCCTAGGGAGAAAGCAGGCTTCAGGGCTTCAGGGATTAGCCACCTGCTATTAGAAATGTTCCCAGGAAGTTAGGGCACACCGCGGATAGGTACTGGAACATTACAGGGGTTGAGGCTCGGAGGTGGTAGAGAAGGAAAATGAGGGAATGAAACGTATGGGTCGTGATGCAGGAACAAGGAGAAATCTCTCTTAAGTACATAAATGTGTAACAAGCACACAATGCGGGGGTGGGGGGGAGGGGTTTACAGGTCACAGCCTGCCTGGGAGGGTTAGTGAAGGGGGTGCAGGAAGAGCCAGTAACATCCCCCTACATGCAACATCCCCAAATATCTCCAGACATTATCAAAAGGGGCAAAATCACAGTAGGTTAAACACCACTCAGATTAGATTACACTTACAAGTGTTCAGTAAATGGCACTTTTGAGATCCATTAAAAAAAAAAAAAAAAACCAGGGCGGTGCTCAAGGAGTAGGCTCAAAGGAGTAGGGCACTGACCCATATGCTGGAGGTGGTGGGTTCAAACCCAGGCCTAGCCAAAAACTGCAAAAAAAAAAAAAAAAAAAAAAGAGGAGTCTGGCTGGGCAACCATAGCTCCGTGGTTAGGGCATGGGCCATATACATGCTCCAGGCCTGGTGGTTTCGAACCCGACCTGGGGCTACTAAACAACAACAACTACAAAAAAAAAATAGCCAGGCACTGTGGTGGGTACTTGTAGTTCCAGCTACTAGGGAAGGTGAAGCAAGAGAATCCCTCGACTCGAAGAGTTTGAGGTGGCTGTGAGCTATGATGCCACAGCGCTCTACCAGTGACAAAGTGAGACTCTGTCTCAGTAAAAAATAATAATAATAAAAATAAAAAGATAGGACTCCAATGTACTCAATTCTAATATGAAGGCAGTAGATGAGCTAATGCAAGGGGGGGGTAGGAGAGTGAGGCAGTGGGGAGAGGGGAGGAAGGAGGTGGATGGGGGTCACGGTGTATGACATACCTCTTGGGGGCAGGACACAATTATAAGAGGGACTTTAATCTAACAAATGCAATCTGTAACCTAATTCTTTGTACCCTCAATGAATCCCAAACAATAAAAAAAGAAAAAGAAAAGCAAGGGCCCAAACCAAAACAACCCTCCTTAGCACTCTCAGCACAGAATACTTCTGTTCAGGCCAGGCACGGTGGCTCACACCTGTAATCCTAGTACTCGAGAGGCCAAGGTAGGTGGATTGCTTGAGCTCACAAGTTCAAGACCAGCCCGAGCAAAAGCGAGACCCCGTCTCTACTAAAACTAGAAAAACTGAGGCAAAGGAATCGCTTAAGCCCAAGAGTTGGAGGTTGCTGAGCTGTGATGCCATAGCACTCTACACAGGGCAACAGCTTGAGACTTTGTCTCAAATAAATAAACAATAAATAAAATAAAGCCTCTGTTCATTCTCATTTCACGATACTGTCATTTTAGAATTCTCCTGCTCTAGGAGAATCTGGCCCCCCAGAAATCTTCTGAAGACCCCACACTTCTCCGTGAGCGCTGCGTAATTCTATCCATGTACCTGAAAAATTCAGTGGCTCCCAGGAACCTTGGAAATGGAGTCAGTCTCGCTTTGGAAACTTTTATTAAACAGTGTAGCTCATTTGTTAATAAGAATTCTAAAATAAACCCTTAAACGTGCTGGGGGGATTGGCAGCAATCAAAGAAAAAGAGTTCCCATTAGGAAACGTAATGGAAGAGGAAGTAATTGACACATTGTTTGCGTCATCCTTTCCCCCACTCCCCCATAGACAAACGCTTTGTAATCAAGCTATTTACTGAGCGGCTAATAGCTTCTTCCACACTAAATCTCTCTGAGTGCTGATCTTTCTGTTTTTAAAGTGGACCCAATTAAGACAGATGTTGTCTGAGCATCACTGATCTTCATAACACCAAGACTTTAAGCCAAATGGAACATAAAGGACAGTCTCATCTACTGGCTTTCTGACTGTCAGGTATTCGGGGGGGGGGGGGGGGCTGTTCTTTTAAAATGAAAATGCACCTGCGAGCCCAATAGATAGAACATAAAAAGTTGATGCTTATCTCTGCGGCTACGTGGAGTTCAAACTATGACCCTACTTCAACCACGAGAATCGGATCACACGGTAGCACACTGAGGTACCTGATGACTTCACCTCAAGGCCATCAGTCATGAGCATAAGAGAAGACTGAGGAACGGTCACAGACCAGAGCAGTAAGGAGACACAAGAACACACAGAGCCTGGTGTCTTGGAAAAGAGCTGGGTCAAAAATTTTTTTTAAGATAGTCTTATTCTGTTGCCTTGGGTAGAGTGCCATGGTGCCATAGCTCACAGCAACCTCAAAATTCTGGGGCTCAAGCAACCTTCTGCCTCCCAAGTAGCTGGGACTATGGGCACCTGCCACAACACTCAGTTCATTTTTTCTATTTTTAGTAGAGACAGGGTCTCATTCTTGCTCAAGCTGGTCTTGACCTCCTGAGCTCAAGCAATCCATCCTCCTTGGTCTCCCACAATGCTGGGATTACAGGCATGAGCCACTGCACCCAGCCAAACATTGGTGACCAGTGTGCCATGGTCAAGTATGTGGATCAGAAGGGAAACTGGGTATGGGGTATAAGAGAACTCTGTACTATCTTTGCAACTTTTCCACAAATCTACAAGTATTCCAAAATTGAGATGAAAGGTTTTCATAAAATGTTTATATTGATAAAATAATGCTCTTATCCAAATCCAAGTTTACAATATTTACTCCTTCTAAAATCAATTAGTACAACAGTGAGGTGGTTTGGTGAATTTACAGGAAATAGGATCTGGCTGTATCAGCTCCGTCATTCACTTTTTAAAAATATATTTTTAGATATGTTTTAATGTATACTATCAAGGACAGATTGATTCAAAAGAAATGCAGTTATAGGAGTAGCTTTTAAACAGGTTACTTAGCGATTTCAGGGTACCGCTCAATTAACGTGTTACAGAGGTTTATTTCATGGTGGATGTGCAAGAATGGGTGACTTTAGGGCAAAAGTAATGCATTAGTGGCTTCTAATAGGCTAAAATTTGGCACATAGCACACCAGAATATGTGTTGTTTTTTTAACTGAACTCTCAAAATCAATATATATTGCAGGAAACTAAATTGGACAATAGGAGTTTTAATGAAATAATGTGGAAGCTTTGTTAGGGTTCCATGGCACCCAGTTTGAAAGCTACTGATGGAGTTCAGCCCTTTTGTTTTTGGATGGGACAGTAGGACCCAGGCGGGCAGAAGGGCAAGGCCACAGCCACTTAGCTCATGAGCAGGAACCTGGACACCACAACTCAGTCTCCTGACTTTAGGGGTAGTGCTTCTGGGGTCAGGTTTGGTCTGGAGAAATGTAGAATCTGGGCCCTGAGCACAGCAGATCTTAGCGGGGGGCTCGTGAGAGTCTAAGGAAACCCTTACGTCAAACAGACATGGCACCAGGCGGCAGACGACCTCCACTTGCCCAGGACGCAGCCCCACCTCCTCCTGAGCTTCCCGGAGAGCCGTGGCGATGTCATCCTGGTCTGTAGGTTCACACTTTCCTCCGGGGAAGCAAACTTCTCCAGGTGACCTTCTTAGCTGGGCAATGAAAGAACAGAGCTACGATGAGGGATTCCAATTTTGGAGCTTTCATCCATTCGAGAAATATTTACAGAACTTCTATCTTGTGTAAGAGATCATCCCTACACTGGTGGTGATGAGTGGTGAACAAGACCAAAACAAAAAAAGAATTTTCCACCATCCTTACTTTTTTCTATCTCTCCCCAAAACATACCATACACACGGATCGACACTGATTGGGAAAAATAGCTGAAAAGATAATGTAAGTGGCAGTATTAGCAATAGATATATTCTGTTGAGCCTTTTTAAAATTATTATTTTAGAGACAGAGTCTCACTTTGTCGCCCTTAGTAAAGTGCTGTGGCATCATAGCTCACAGCAACCTCAAACTCTTAGGCTTTAGCAATTCTCTTGCCTCTGCCTCCCAAGTAGCTGGGACTATAGGTGTCTGTCACAACGCCCTGCTATTTTTTAGAGACGGGGTCTCACTCTTGCTGGGGCTGGTCTGGAATCTGTAAGCTCAGGCAATCTGCCCTCCTCGGCCTCCCTGAGTGCTAGGATCACAGGCGTGAGCCATCGCGCCCGGCCTTGTCGAGCCTTTTATTAGGTGCTTATCATATTCCAGGCACCTGGTTTCACCAAGATTTTTCTTTTCTTTTTTTTTTTTTTTGAGACAGAGCCTCAAGCTATACCCCTGGGTAGAGTGCCATAGCATCACAGCTCACAGCAACCTCCAACTCCTGGGCTCAAGCAAGTCTCCTGCCTCAGCCTCCCAAGTAGCTGGCGCCCGCTACAACGCCCGGCTATTTTTTTTGGTTGCAGCCATCATTATTGTTTTGGTGGCCTGGGCTGGATTTGAACCCACCACCTTAGGTGTATGTGGCTGGTGCCTTAGCCCCTTGAGCCACAGGCGCTGAGCCACCAGGATTTTTCTTACTGAGTCTTCAGAACAGTTCTCTGAGCTTTTATTTTTTAAAGTATTTTTCAATGAGATGAAATTCACATACCATAAAATTATTTTAAAGTGACAAATTCAGTGGCATTTCATATTCACAATGTTGGACAACCGTGCCTGCTGTCTGGTTCTGGAACATTTTCATGAACCCCAAAAGGAAGCCTCACGCCCATTTAATAGCTGATCCCTAGTCTCTCACCACCCCTGCTTTCTGTCTACCATGGATTTACCTAGTCTGGATTTTTCTAACCAGCTTCTCTGCCTCAACCTACCGTTTCTGAGTTTCTTATATGTTGTATCATGGATCAGTACTTCATTTTTTTTTCACAGTTTATAAGTACTTCATTTTTTATGGCTGAATAGTTTTCCATTATATGTATGTATCATAATTTGTTTACCTATCTCTTGATGGACTTATAAGCTACTATTATATGATTATTATTTCCACTTTCAGCCAAGGGAACAAAGGCTTAAAGAGGTTAAATAACCTGAGCAAATTCACACAATGACCTGGAATAGAAACCAGTGTTAATTCTAGAGCCAGTATTCGTAACCTGTACAATATATACTTATTATAAGTTTACTAAAACTCAGAAGATAGGGGCAATGGAACCATTCACACCCACCTGTGTCAACATCTCCGTTTGTCTTTGGAAACATTTGCAAAGGAACAGGGGACTCTCTCTTCCACCGGTGTGCCTGATTCCATCCTTTCCTGACTTTAGAAGGATCAATAGTGTCTCCACTCATTATTACCTCCCTTTCTTATCTGTCTCTAAAACAATTTTTCTCCTAGCTCAGGCAGGGTTGGAGAGGTCCAAACCCTCCACCTGTTCTCTGCTGTAGGACCAAACATCCTACCAAACTGACCTCCATGTCTTTTGTGCTCACTCCCGCCTCGTACCCACCATCCTCTCTCTACTGAACTGTCCAGGAGACCTCAGGCTCAGCAAGAGCCCTGGGTCTGCCTCCTGCCAGCTGAGCACCGCTCAGAGCTGCAGAGAGGGTTCCGTGAGCTGTGGCTGAAGCACAAGGAACAGGGCCTGGCCCGTATTAAATATTTAACAGTGAGAACTCGTAAGGTCAGTTCTTGATGTCTAGAAGCTAAATCAAGAGGCTGTGTGGCATTTTTAGCACCTGGGCCAATACGTGTAGAGACAAACTAGCTGCAGGGTCTGAATGTTTGTCCCTCCCAAACTGATCTGTTGAAATCCTCCCACTAATGTAATGGTATTAGGAGGGGGACCCATGGGGGGAGTAATTAGATCATGGGCGTGGAACCCTCATCAATGAGATCAGTTACCATGTAAAAGAGGCCTGAGAGAGATACACCTTCTCCCCTCTGCTCTCTGAGGACCCAGTAAAGAGATGGCCATCCGTGGAGTAGGAAGTGGGCCCTCACCAGACACCAGTTCAGCCAGCACCGTGATCTTGGACTTCCCAGCCTCCAGAACTGGGAGAAATCAATTTCTGTTGTGCCTGAGCCACCCAGCCTAAGGTGTTTTGTTACACACCTTGAAAAGATGAAGGCAATGCTGGCATGCATTTTTTGGCACGCTATAGTTTAAAGCCCCAGTTGGGCAAGGCTTTTTAAACAAACAAAACAAAACATCGTAAAGTTCTTCTCTGCTGCTAAGTCAGGAAGACTGCAGGAATCGCTATCACAGATCCATCCTCAGACATCTTTACATCACTTACAGGGGTGAGAGCAGGGAAGAGGAAGGCTGGGGGACGTGTTTCCACTGTCGTGAACACTCACCACCCGCTGCAGACGTGTCTGACAAAATGCACGAGAGATACCCGTAATGTTACAGCCCTTCTGAAAAAGTGCTTCATTGTTAGCATGTCCAACGCCATGGCAGCCGCTGACAGAGGCACCTCCAAGGAGTCATCAGGCTTGACAGAAACACAGACCTGATTTAATGACTGTTTTAAATGTACAGTCATGTGCCACTTAACGCCAGGGCTAAGTTCTGAGAAATGTGTCATGAGGCAATTTTGTCCTTGTGCAAAAATCCTAAGCGTGTACTTTCATGAAGGTAGATCACACCAGAGCCTGCGGAGGGCCTGGGCTCTGCGGTACAGCCTCTTGTTCGTCGGTTGTAAACCTATAGAGCATGGCATTGTCTTAAATACTCTGGGAAACACTAACACAGTGGCAAGTATTTGCATATCTAAACAGAGAAAAGGTACAGTAAAAATAGGATATAAAATGTAAGGCTTTATAACACAGGCCGGGCACATCCCTTTACCTCAGGAGTTGGAGGTCAGCCTGAGAAACAGAGACTCTGTCTCTAAAAAAAAAATAGCCAGGCATTGTGGTGGGCACCTGTACTCCTGGCTACTTGGGAGGCTGAGGCAAGAAGATCACTTGAGCCCAGGAGCTTGAGGTTGCTGTGAGCTAGGATGCCAACCATACTCCACTGGGGGCTACAAAGTGAGGCTCTGTCTCAGAGAAAAAGAAAAAAAAAAAAAAA